GGGGGGGTGCAGGCTGGGGGCGGGACTCGGCCTCCTGGGGCTGCCCCCTGGGAAGGTGAGTGGGCCGACGAGGCCCAGTGGCTAGTGTTCCCGGCCGCCCCGTGCAGCCAGCTGGACCCTGGAGGAGCTGAGCAAGGTGGTGAAGATGCCCGTGGCCCTGCTGCGGCGGCGCATGTCCGTGTGGCTGCAGCAGGGAGTGCTGCGGGAGGAGCCTGCCGGGACCTTCTCTGTGGTGGAGGAGGAGCGGCCCCAGGACCGGGACAGCATGGTGCTCCTTGACAGCGACGACGAGAGCGACTCCGGCATGGCCTCCCAGGCCGACCAGAAGGAGGAGGAGCTGCTGGTGCGGCCGGGGGCGGGGGCGGGGGCCTGGCTCAGCCTCTGGTGCAGTGGCCGCACGGGAGGGTGGCCTGACGGCCGGCCTGTCCTCTGTGTCCCCAGCTTTTCTGGACGTACATCCAGGCCATGCTGACCAACCTGGAGAGCCTGTCGCTGGAGCGTATCTACAGCATGCTGCGCATGTTCGTGGTCACCGGCCCCGCGCTGGCCGAGATCGACCTGCAGGAGCTCCAGGGCTTCCTGCAGAAGAAGGTGAGGGACCAGCAGCTGGTCTACTCAGCCGGCGTCTACCGCCTGCCCAAGAGCTGCAGCTGACGCGCCCACTGCGCCCTTCCCGCGACGTCCCCACGGAGGGAGGGTGGCTGGGGGGGTGCCCCCCGTGCCCCTGCCCGGCCCCCGGAGTGCAGAGTAAAGCAAATGGTTCTCTGTCCTTTCCCTGTCCTGGTGGCTTTGTGGGCCCATCGTGGGCGTGTGGTCCGGGTTTGCCCTTCACAGCGGCCTCTCCAGCTCAGCCTAGCAGGGCCTGGCTCCCTGGGAGCAGGTGCGGGGAAACACACGAGTGTCCGGGCCCAGCCCTGCCTGCACACCTGTCACCGGGCTCCAGACCCACGGTCCTGGCACGTGGACGTCCCTGGAGCACACGAGGGGTCCTGGCACCGCCCCCAGCCCCTGAGGTCCCGGGAGGCAGGGAAGGGCTTTGGCTGGACGCAGGCTGGAGGTCTTCAGAAGCACTGGGCACCACAGCCTGCGGTGCAGGAGGCTCCGTGCTGGCTGGTGGTGCCAGCCTCCTGGGCAACAAAGGCCCTTTGGAACGAGCCTCCGGCGTCCTGTTCCCGCCCACCCGGGGTGCCTTCCCAGGCCTGAAGTCATGCCTGTTGCCCCCAGACACCCTTGGGCAGCCCCCTCCGCCAGGCTGTCTTCTAGTGGCTACCCCCACCTCTCCACTTCGACCTGTTCCCCTGGGGCCCTGGTATCAGTCCTTGACGGGACCCCCTCTCACTCCAGAGTGTCCTGTTGGCCACGGGTCTGGAGAACGATCAGTAGGACTAGGCACGTAGCCTTAGCAGTTCCAGGATTCTGGCGAGCCGGTGTTTGCCTCACTTGGGCTCCACCCACCACCAAGGCTGCTGTGCTGTGGTCACTAGGAGAGGGGCTTCCCGCTTTCCTCTGAGTTCTGCTGGAGGCCCAGAAGGCTCTAACACCCACCGTTCCCTCCAGGCGGAAGGTCACCTGGCATGGGGCTGAGTTTACTTCGTCATCCTAACCCGGATGCAAACCGGCTAGACGGGTCTGGCGGGGCAACGGGGTCAGCTCCTGGGCACAGGCACACGTCCCTTTGGACTTGGTTTGTTAACAAAATGTTGAGAAAAACAAAAAAGCTGCATCTTGGGTCACAGCATCACACAACAGGCACAGAGGTGTCCCAGAAACTGCTGGCTGGTCCCCAAGGAGGGTTCAACACTAGGAGGAGACACCTGTGTCAGAGGAGTCAGGGAGGTCCCCAATGACAAGGAGTCAGCCAGGGCCCCTCTGCACCCTTGCCCCTGGTGCCCTGTGGGGTCATCCGTGGTGTGGGACAACTCCCCCTGCTGCCTGTGTGGTTTGCTGGCCTAGGTCCTTAGGGGAGGAGGGAGGAGGCCTCTGGACTGCGAGGCCAGGGAGGAGGCTGAGGTTAAGTCCCACGACGCCAGCCTGCAGCTAAGTCCCTCAGGCAGGAAGATGCAGAGGAAGAAGCCCGCAGGGCAGGGCAGGGGGGCTCTGATAAATGATACAGATTGGGAGCCTCAGATGCTACCTGTAGCCTTTTCTCAGCCAGAAGCGCCTAGCGGCTGTGGCTGTGGGAGGGCCTGTGGGCAGCGCCCCCACCTCCTGGGGGATTCGGAGAGCCTGGCGGTTCCTCCGGCCTCCGGCATTGCTGAGCTGGGGGCGGGATCCTCCCCGAGACCGCCAGTGCGAGGGAGGGCAGCGAGCACAGGCCCATGCCTTGCCCCTTCTTGGCCCCTGCTCCTGCCAGCCTTGGGGGAAGGATGGTGGCATAGGTCAGCTGGGGCCCAGGCCTCACCTGGGCTGTCACAGTCCCTGAGAAACAGGCCTCCCGCTGTCTGCTGAGGGCCCCCCAGGGTTTCCGGGTCATTGTCTCCACTATCCCAAGAGCCTAAGGGTGATCTCCACCCCCTTCCCTGTAATACACCATCCCCTGAGGCTGGATCCAGTAGGGCACTGGGGAGCAGCTCCCAGGCCCCCAGCCACCCTACCTGCTTCACCCCGAGGACTGCCTGCCCAGGTCTCCTCTGCTCCCACACAGAAGTTCAAGTGAAGCTCCGGCTGAAGCCCTGCCCACCCCCACACACCTCCCAGACCCCCGATTCCCCCACCACTCCACCCTGCTCCACAGCCCTATTGTGAGGTCAGCGCCTTCCAGTGGGTTCCATCCAGAGGTGTGTGGTGGGGTTGGGGGCTGGACATGGCCCCCTGTCCCCAGCCTGACTCCTGCCTGGCTGGCGGCCCTCTCGGCCTGATATGTCTGTCCCTTTTGCTCATCCCTGCTGCAGGTGCCTCCTCCCGTCCCTGAACCCCGCCCCAGCCAGGGCCCCTCCTGGGGAGAGGGGTGGCCCCGGGGGCCCTCCACTGGCAGGTGACGAGGGCCCCTCGGCCACACGGGCCCTGTCTCTGCAGCTGGAACGTACTGTGAGTGCAGCCTCGGCCTCAGCCGCGAGGCCCTCATTGCCCTGCTGGTGGTGCTGGCGGGCGTTGGTGCCAGCTGTTTCTGTGCCCTCGTCATCGTGGCAATTGGTGCCATGCGAGCCAAGAGGTGTGTAGGCCCCGGGGCGGGCAGGGTGGGTGAGGGCCACGGGGCCCTGCTCGGAGAGGGGCCTCTGCCCCAGGTGAGATGTCAGCCAGAGCTGGGGAACGCTATTTCCCGGAACTGGGCTGTGAAGAGGTGGGGTGCGGGAGGGGCACTTCTGGGCTCCTGGGGGCCAGCTCCCCTGCTCCAGGACTCACACCTTCCTTTGCCCCCCAGACATGAACATGCCTCCCGCAGACACATGGACAGCAGGTGAGTAACCTCAGGGGAGGACCCCACGGGTGAGCTGTGCCCCTGCCCCTGCCCCACTGGGAGGTGTGGTCACAGATGCATCAGGGGCACTGACCTGAGAGCCAGGCCTGCCCTGGGAGGGGGTTAAGTCCTCGGGAGCCCGTGCTGGTGACTGCCTGCAACAAGCCTGACCCAGCCCGTGTCGTGCAGGATGGTGGGGCACTTCGGGGTCCAGGAAGATCACACGGATCTGCACACATTGCATGTGGAGTCCCACCTCATGGACCCTGACCTGGAGGTCTCCCTGATGCCTCCCCTGGAGGCTCACGGCCTCATAACCATCCCCATGGACCCGATGGCCCCAACTCTGACTCTAGAGGAGCCGTCCCCTCTCACCCCCCCACCTGAGTAGGGCTGCGGGCAGCCTAGGGTAAGAGAATTAAACGGTATTTAGTGCTTCTGCCCTGTCCTCTCTGCGGGCTCCTCCTAGAGCCGCTGTGCGGCTGCGTGAAGGGGTGGGGAGGGGTCTGTGTGCACCTAGGTCATCTCCTTTATCTTGGATGGCGGGTGTGTGTGTGTGTGTGTGTGCGCGCACGAGTGTGCGCTGCCTGCACAAGTGCCCGCTGTCTGCCCTTCAGGGCAGGAGCCACAGCCCTGGTGTTTCCATCTCCTCCTGCCATGGCCTCCGTCTAGCTCCTCCCGGCATCGTCCTGCTGCCTTGCCCCACGAAGTTGGCATGGCTCCTGGGCCCCTGCCCACCCCACCCCCACCCCGGAAAACCCCAGGACAGGTTGTGCAACTCTGGTGACTCCAGAGGGAACAGCATTTGACTGGAGAACTTGGGCTGGTGCCTGTGCCCTACCCACACTGTCTCCTTGAGGTTCTAGGAGAATCCTCATAGGGCCAGGTAGGGCAGACATGACGGTCTCCAGGTATGCAGTCCCCGCTCCACCCTACGGCCTATCCCCTGGGCTCAGGCTCCCATCATGTACTCCTGACCCCACCAAACATCCACTATGGAGATGGGACCATCCCTATACGGGGGGTGCGGGGAGGGGGCCCACTGTGTGTGTGCTAGGGTCACTTTGCTGGGCAGGAGACAGGCAGGGACGAGTGAGCAGTGAGGCCCCTGGGTCCCATTCCATGCGTGGCATCCATGAGTTTGATGGGTGTGTGTGTGTGTGGGGGGGGGTCATGCAGCGGCTTAGGCCTCAAGGGGGGCACAGGGTGGTGGATACCCCAGGAGAGGAGAGGTGGGGCTTCTCACCGCCGCAGCTGGCACAGAGCCAAGAGGAGCCCGGCTCCGGGACAGGTGGCTGGCAGTGCAGGGTGCTGGCTATCCGCCCAGCCCCCGCCCTGGGCGCGGGGACCAGCCGTGGAACAGGAACTGCCGGCACTCGGGCTGGAGAATTAATATTTGTGCAGGCGCGGCAAAGACGCACTGGCTACGTGAACGCACGGGCAGCAGGCCTTGAGCTCTGCCCCCATGCGGAGCCTCTCCTCTCTCTCGCGGCGGCCGTCGCCGATGTTGCTGCTGCTGCTGTCGCCGTGGTCAGTCTGGGCCCAGTTGTCCGCCGCGGCCGCCTCCTCGGGAACCCCAGACACCCCGGAGTGCCCGGAGGCGTGCGCGTGCGCGCCGGGCGGCCAGGCCAACTGCTCGAGGCGCGCGCTGCCCGCCGTGCCTGCGGGCCTGAGCCGGCGCGTGCGCGCGCTGCTGCTGGACCATAACCGTGTGCGCGCGCTGCCGCCCGGCGCTTTCGTGGGCGCTGACACGCTGCTGCGCCTGGACCTGCGCGAGAACGGGCTGCGCTGGGTGCACGCGCGGGCCTTCTGGAGCTTGGGCGCGCTGCAGCAGCTCGACCTCAGCGCCAACCAGTTGGAGGAGCTGGCGCCCGGCACCTTTTCGCCCTTGCGCGCGCTGCGTTCCCTCTCGCTGGCAGGCAATCGGCTGGCGCGCCTGGAGCCGGCGGCGCTGGGCGCGCTCCCGCTGCTGTACGCGCTCAGCCTGCAGGACAACGAGCTGCCTGCGCTCGCGCCGGGACTGCTGGCCGGCCTGCCGGCTCTCCGCGCACTGCGCCTGCGCGGCAACCCTTGGGTCTGCGGCTGCGCGCTGCGTCCGCTCTGCTCCTGGCTGCGCCGGCACCCGCGGCCGGCGCCAGGTGAGCCCTCCGGGTGGGGGTAGGCGGGCCGGGAGCCACGGCCACGGTCCCCGCCGCCGCCACCTGACTGTGCACCTGTGTCCCGCAGAGGCCGAGACGCTGCTCTGCGTGTTGCCAGGGCGCCTGACGCTCAGACCCTTGACCGCCTTAACGGACGCCGCCTTCAGCCACTGCGCGCAGCGGCTCGCCCCCCGGGAC